TGGTGATGATGGTGGTGGTGATGATGATGTTGATGGTGTTGGTGATGATGATGGTGGTGGTGGTGATGATGATGATGGTGGTGGTGATGATCATGAACCATGGGACTGGAGAGATGGCTCAGGGATTAAGAGCACTTGTTCATGCAGAGGATTCAGGTTCGGTTCCTACCACTCACAAAGTAGCTCATACTATTTCTAACCTCAGTTCCGGGATACCCGATGCCTTCTTCTAAGCTATTAGGACACTAGGCGCACACATCAGCATGCACATACACACAGGCAAACACCCCCCCCCCCAAATAAATAAACAAAAGTAACAGAAGGATGGAGAGCTTGAAGTTCTCTGGGGTTATACAAGGAGAGGAAAAATACAAAATGGAAGAGCAAAGGTGGTCAGCCTTGTGGGCTCAGATACTTGGGAGGCTGAGAATCCCTGCCTCAAAAACCGAGCTGCGCTATAAGAAACTCTATACAGAGCTTGGAGGAGTTTAATGTTGGCACTTTGATAAGGGAAAACTGAGGCTCAGACAAGGGAAATGACCCAGGCTCCTGGGTGCAACCTCTGGCCTCGCTGCTCTTGCTGAGGGCCTTGGCAAGTGTCTGAGGACTCCGCCTCTTCCCTGAGCCGTGACTAGCTCTCACCGTCTAGCTGGGAGGCCGGTTACTCTCACAAGCTTTGGTTGTGTAATAAGGAGGAACCTGGTGTGTGTGTGTGCATAAGGAACGGAGACATGGTGAACAGATCTTTAAATGTGTGGGAGGAGTACTGAAGGTGGATGTGTGAAGGTGGATGAGTGGACCCTTCAGGAAGCAGGTCGCCAACAGCTCTTTCCCACCTGCAGCTGCTCTGTGGGTCCTCCTCGGCTGGGAATGAATTGTCACTGCGAAGTGGGGGACTGCTGTCAATTCAGACTTCAGCATTTTTCCTGCCAATTAATTCGTCCATAAATAAAGCCGTGCAGAAGCTGGAGGACAGAGGTGTCCAGTCTATGGGGCCCGGGAACTACCCACTTATTCAGGGGTCTCAGAGGAGCGTGCGTCACGCAGTGAGGGCTCCATAGCTTGCCTGGGCATCCGCCAACTTGTCCCACCAGCTTGCAGCGCGCCCTGCCTGGCCTTAAGCCCGGTGCCGCAAACGCGCTATCTCCGGAGGGCGCGGGCTGGGGGCGGAGCCTCGGTGTTGTTGTTCCTCTCTGGCCCCGCCCCCTAGGGGGGCGCGGACCACGCGGCCGGAGGGCCCGCCTCCCCTCCCCCTCCCCGCCCAGCTCGCCCGCCTCTTTGTATCCAACATCCGGGTTTCCCCGCTGGCTCGGCTCCGTGGCCACCGCTCAGGAGCCATTTTGGACTCGGTTCAGCTCCCCCCCCCCCCCCCCCCCCCCCCCCCCCGTTCATGGCCCCTCCGGACTCGGCCCCTACGCCCGGGGCCCGGGCCCAGCCCCGTTGCGCCATGCCCGCGTCGGGCGCGCCCTGGCCCGCGCCCCGCCGCCGTCCCCCGGCCCCCGCGTCGCCCCATAGCCCGGGCCGCACTGCGCGCCGCCCGCAGCGGCCCTGAACCCCTATCCCCGCACGCTGCCTGGGAACCGAAGCGCAGAAGCGCGCGCGCCTGGAAGCGAGACCCAGAGAAGGAGCGGGAAGCAGACCGCAGCCGCCGCCGCCGGGCCCTGCGCGCCCCGGGAGCGCAGCGCGGCCCTGCCCGCGGGCTCCGGGTGTCCGCGGGGCGGCGCCGCGGAACATGACGGCGCCCTGGGCGGCCCTCGCCCTTCTCTGGGGATCGCTCTGCGCCGGTAAGGACCCGGCGCGTCGTGGGGGTGCGGGGACCCGGGGCGCGCGGTGTTTACCAACAAAGGGCGGCCCCGCGGCCTCGGCGCCGCGCCACCTGCTCGGGATCAGGGTCGCGCGGGGCGATCTGCTCGCGATCGTGGAGACACGCTCGCCTGTGCCGTACCTCTACGCTGTTGTGGTTCGCAGAGGCGCTAGGTGATAAGGGAACCTGGAGCGTCAGGGTCGGGGTTCAGGTTCCGCGGGCGCGCGGACCCTAGGGACAGAGCGAGGAAAACCTGAGTGTGGGGAAGGCGGCCAGTCGGGGCGGGCATCTCATCGGGGGCGGCTGGGTTGGGGCTGCGCGCCCCTGAGAGCCGTGGGTGTCGCAAAATGCAGCGGGCGGCTTTCCACAGCCCGCCCGGAGTCCTCTCCACCCCGTCCCGCCACTCTGGGTCGCGATCCTCGCGCGAGTGGCTCCTACCTGCGCCCGCTCTCCTTGCAGCGGGCCGCAGATGCGCCCTCGTGGGACCGCTTTTGTTTTGGGCAACTGGTTGTGGAGATGAGGTTGAGGGAGGTGAACCAACAGGTCTCAGATCGCTCCGGCCGGCACGTGGCGGACGTGAGTGACCCGCGCTCAGCCCGCAGGCGTTTGTGGGCTGTGGATGGTGCGCGTCTGCTTGGGGACTGGGACGTGTGGGTGGGTGTGTACGCGCGAAGTTGTGCTGGGAAAGCTCTTTTGGTCCCAAAGCCCAGGCACCGATTTCTCTGCCCCTGTGGTGCTGAAGCGTGCCGAAGTCTGTACGATCTCCGGGACGGGTTTGGGACAGTCCTGGGAAACGTAGACAGTCAGGCATTGAGACTCCAGAGAAAAGATCTTGGTGATTGGAATGGCTGGTGCCCGGTGGCCGGGGCTCTGGGTCCTGCGCGTCTTTGTTCCCAACCCCCATTACACATGCAACTCGGGTCCCCTGCGGCCCGAGGTGGCAGCAGCGCTGAGTCTGGGAAACCCGCGAGGGGCGGGGCCCGGAGTGAAGGGGAAGGGCTGGGATCCCTTATGCAGCTGCGGGGTGGGTATCCCAGATGGCCATTGCACCCACTCACTGGGATTCCCACTTTCAGTCTTCTCCCTTCTATTGCAAGGTAGTGAGGCTTGGCAGTTAATTCCGACCCCGAGAGTTTTTGCACGCTTCTGGCTGAGGTGGAGCGTGAGTGCACGAACCAGAGGGCAGAGACCACTTCTTTGCCAGCTGAGCACACTGTTGGAAAGCAGTTTCAGAGCTGTTCTGGAGCGTTAGAGGCAAAGCCAGCCCAGGTGGGACACTTTGTTGTTGTTTTTCCCGCCACTCCTTGAGGTTGCTCTTGAGTCTTTCTTCCCCCGAGAAAGAGGGCTGGGATGGAAAGCATTGGCCTTCTGTGGGAAGATATCAGCCCGCTGATCAAGGGCACACAGCAGCCTCGCCGCCTCTTGACCGCCTGGATTTCTGCTTCTGGGCGTCTTTCTCTTTCAAGCCCTGGATTGTCGTGTGCCTCCTCTGAGGACAGTACACCTCAGACTAGACATCTGTACATCACTGTCCAGGTTTGTCCCAGTCTGGTCTCCCCAGTCACCTCCCATTATATAAGGGGCAGGGTGTGTGTGGATCCCTGGCACGGTGTCTGTGTACTCCTTGCACTGTCTGGGGAGCGCTATTGGAGTAGGGAGGCATCTCTTCTGACTCAGTGCCTGTGGTTCTGCCCTCGGGGAAGGTAGTCACCTGGTATTTCTAGTCACACGGAGGTGCCGAGGTGGCTTTTGAGGAACTGGAGGAGAACTTCGTTTGGGGCAGAGCTGGCCCTCCTGACCTCTTGCTTCATGTTTCTGGCTTAGTATTCAGCATTACTTAGCCCTGTGGTAGAAAGAAGAGATCTATGCTAGTACTGTGAACAGGAACATTTACCTTAAACTATCTGAATGGCTGTGCTAGTAAAGGAAAAAGAAGTTGTATCTCAGTGTATTCTGGCTGCTCTGATACCACAGAGCTGGGTGATTCAAATAGCAGTAGAGAGAGCCCAGTGGCTAGAGTGCTTGCTGCTCTTGCAGAGGACCCAGGTTCTAGTCCGAACACTGACATGGTGACTCATAGTCACCTGGAACTCCACTTCTGGGAGGGTCACATGCTCTGTGACCTCTGAGAGCACCAGGCGTGCACGTGGACCAGACACACCTGCAGACAGACACTCAGAAGATAAAGTTAAAAGTCATATATATTCTATGTTTAACCACATTCACCTTTAAAAGTCAGCAGTGCGTATTCTCACGTGGTTCCTGAAGCCAGACCAGGGTGCCGGGGCAGTCAGGTCTGTCCTACGAGAGCCAAGGCTCCCACCTTCACAGTCTAATCCAGCCTTCACTGCTTCCTAGAGGTCCCACTTCCAAAGACCTTTGCATCACTGCCGGTTAGGGCTTTGCCATATGAATTTGAGGGTGGAGACTTGCTCCTTTTCATAGTTGGGTAAAATTAAGTTAACATAAAGATTGGTTATTGTAACGCACAGTCACTATTAAAAGAGTTAATGAGACATGAAAAAACAGGTTATCGCTGTAGTCTTGGCTGTTCTGGAACTCACTCTGTAGACCAGGCTGGCCTCAAACTCACCGAGGTCCCCCTGCCCCTGCCTCCTGAGTACTGTGATCAAAGCTGTGCCCCACCACTGCCCTGCCCTGCCCTGCCCGAGACACACACATAAATTAACTATCTTCAAGATATGGCATGTATCTTACCTTTTACAGAACATCCTGATTCCAACTTTGCACACTTCAGGTTCGGCCAGCTGCTGCCACAGTGGACAGCACAGGCCAAGAGGGAAAGACAGGACTGAGGCTGTGAGGCTGGAAGGCTTTCTAGATTTGAGCCTGGCCCAGCATGTCCTCAGGAGGCTGGCATTTGGCCCTTGCCCTGCAGTGGGCGACCACACACTATTCTCTAACATCTGTTTCTGTGCTTGGGGCTCAGAGCAGAGGGCTTAGCCAAGAGCAGGAGCTGAGGCTAGGAATGGTCTCAGTAGGTCCTCACCATCCCAGGTGTCTCCATAGGCTGACCATTTCCTCTGGGTGGAGGTGTGTGTGAGAGAGTAACCCTTACTCTTCTGGACCACTGTAGTGCGGGAGCCACGGCCAAGGGCTACAGTCACGAGAGTCCCTTCCCAGAGAGGATATCCCCTGCTCTCTGTCCTGTCTGCTGGTCGCCCCAGGCTGCTTGCCTGTCGTGGGCATACCCTTTGGAATGAGTAGGTGCCCTCCTCAGCTCTCAAAGGCTTTTTTTTTTTTTTTTTAAACCAAGCAGATGCGACCCTTGCCCATCTTCCCAGACTACAGCTGAGGGAAGACGTATGACCTAGAACCCTTTGACAGTGTCCTGCTTAGGTAGGCTTTTGTAGTGGGCCCCTCTCCTGCTCTTCCTGGACTCCAAGTCTCTGGACTCGTCCTGGCAGTTACCTAGAGTCCTTCCTTTGCTGGGAGCCCAGGGAAGAGCCCTATTACCTTTGGTCGTGCTGCTCTGAGAACCTGAGGAATCGGACCTCCAGAGGCTGTTCACCAGTGCCTGCCTGCGTGGGCACCTGTACGTGTTGCCTGTGCATGTCTGCACCCTTTCTGGGTCCCCTAAAATTGCAGTCAGCTCCTCCTCGGCCCAGCCTGCCCTCAGATGTGTGCGTTGGACCTCTAACCCTTTGTACCCCTCCTTACCCTGTCTGGTCTGTGGACATGTCTTTGTCTTTTCTTCTGGTACTTGTGATTCTGCCCATCACTCCATTTCTATGGTTTCCTTCCCATCCAGGAAGCCGTCTCTCTGGGATCCACAGGCTGTCAGAGCCTGAGTTCAAAGCCAGGTCCTAACGTGTTACCATGCATGGACTGGGATCCAGTGGGTTGAGGGATGAGCAGATAGGGGTCATTCAGGACCCTTCGTATTCATTCACACCCCCATCCTGTTTCTGTGTGTGTGTGTGTGTGTGTGTGTCTGTACCTGTGCATGTGGGTGCATGTGAGTCCAGAGATATCAAAAGTCTTTCACTGTCGACTTCATTATTTCTTTCCTTTAGAAGCATTTTGTTTTAGTTTGTGGGTATCTGCCAGAACTCACTGTGTTTGTGGTGGCCAGAGGACACCAGAGGAACTTGTGGAAGCTGGTTCTCGCCACGTTGGGTCCTGGGAAGTAAGTTCAGGTTGTCAGGCTCAGTGGCAGGCGAGCCTTTACTGCTGAGACCTCTCACTGGCCCCCACTTCATTTATGAGATGGGGCTCCCTGACCCCGAAACTCACCCTGGAAGCAAGGATTGCAGATGCTTGTCGTTCTGCTGGGCTTTTCCCGGGGGTTCCGGGTATCTGAACTCTGGTTCTTATCCTGTGTGGCTTACACTTTATCAGCCCCGTATACCACACTTTGGGAGATAGTCTGAATAGCCCTGGGTTAGGTCCTGGCTGTGTGGGCCTCTTTAGAACAGGGCTTCCCAAACTTTGACACTATTGGCATTTTGCGTCTATGGATTCTCGGTTTATGTGAGGAGTGGTCGTATAGGGTAGGAGCAGGCCTGTGCCTTGTGCATGCTTATTAGCTGTTTCCTCTCTGACCATGGTGACTGAAAATGACTCCTGGCATTGTTAAATGGTTGGGCCAGAGTCATACCAGTGCTCTAGAACATGCAGCCTTTATTGGGGTAGACAGTTGGGGGAGTCAGGGGAAAGGCCTTTCATCTTTCTCCCTCTGGAGTCGGTAGAGAGCTGGGTTCTCCCTGGAAGCTTAGATGATTCCTGCCGGCAGAACTTGTTGGTGTGTGGGGACTTTGGTCCAGAGTCAGAGGTTCCAGCAGACCGGCTGCTACTGAGGAGAATCCTGGCGTCCTTGAGCTTTCCCAGAAGTGGTTCTCGAGTTTCAGGGAGGCGGCCCGTTGTGGGTGGCCGGGCAACATGCCCGCCTGCACCCGCCCACCTGCTCTGGCCTTTGCCTTGAGGCTGACACTTCTGCCTCTCCCTCCCGCAGAATGT